GACACTTTCCTGGTCGTCGCACCCCATTTGTGGAATCCTCAGTTCTGTCAGAAGGTCAATTGAATCCCACATACACATAGGGCTCTGTACATTTGGAAAACCATGATTTTATAAAATCACCTGAAAGAACTCCTTTCTAGATCTTCCATTGCAACTTTATGATAGTGATTCCTAGAGAGAATATATTAATCAAATCAATTACTAATAAAACCAACAATGGTTAAAGCTACAAATGTGGTGAGCTGACTATTCGTACAAGCTTTGAAGGAATAAGCAAATGTTTGATATGAGTTTTACTACTGCTTATATGCATCACTTTTATTATCTTTGACTTTGTGGTTTTAGTTATTTGTAATCTGTCATCATAACTGCATTTGCATGCAAATTGTTAGCTGTCCTGATTTCTTATGAGGAAAGGCATAAATCGATTGACAACAACAATGGCCGCATTCTCCTTTGTGTTTGTTCAAATTTGATGTCATTAAAATCTCTGTATTTGTCCAGTCTTAGGAATAGATATTGTTTTACTTTCTGAAAATTGCCCTCGGTTGATAAAGAACATGGTGAACACCAGAAGTCCAGGATACAAGTTAAAGAACATTTCCTTTGCATATTTTCCAGATACATATAAAATGAGACTAAATAATAGCATATTTGCTTTCCACCGAGTAACCAAAGAATGACATCACGATAATCTTGTGCATAGCCTGCTTACTTTCCAGGCTCTGAGGTAACATGAAATGTTTGAATGTGTTGATATGCGTGTGTGTGTATCTCCATCTGAATTAGTGAACTCAGCCTTTTTTTCTTCTTCAAAGACCATAAGAAGGTATCCTAGCCAAGTTTCATCATCCCTTTTGATCACATGAGCTATAAATAACCAATGAGGAGGAAGAAAATCCACGCGGCACCTAGCCACCAACCTCGGTCTTTCCCCATAAGCTTTTTTAGGATGGTAGTTCCAATATGGTTCTAGCTAGAAATGCACTAGGGACCCGCAGTTAAAATAACTGTGGGGATTTTTTAAGTGGCAAAGCATCAGCAATCTTAAGTCCTTAGCTCATTCTTAAATCCAGCTTATTCTCCACTTTTGGTTATTTGCGGTCTAAAAGACTATATGACTTTTAGTGCATTTTTATCAGAAGCACTGGGGAATCCTGGCTGTTATGGGAGAAATCATCAAAACGTTTCTGACAGCCATGGAATCCTTCCCTACTATGCTCAAAGAAATAAACATCCACCAACATTCTTTATTTTTTAATATAGCTTATCAATGCTGCCTCATGAGCAAAGGAATGCTTGGATTACACACAAACGACAAATTAAAATTTCATCATGGTTAAAACCGGGTCACACGATCTAAAAGCTGCAAGCACTGGGGAATGGGCAGTGGCATCATCTGTATAATGTCCACATTTTTCCAAATGAAGCAGAGAGTATTGTCGAAGGCTTTCATGGCCGGAATCCATGGGTTGTTGTAGGTTTTTCCGGGCTATATGGCCATGTTCTGGAGGCAATTTTTCTCCTGACGTTTCGCCTGCATCTATGGCTTACCTCTGAGGATGCTTGCCATAGATGCAGGCGAAACGTCAGGAGAAAAATTGCCTCCAGAACATGGCCATATAGCCCGGAAAAACCTACAACAACCCACGAAGCAGAGAGTGTTTGAGGACCGGGACATCCGTAGGGATACCAAGGTGCTTGTTTATAAAGCCATTGTCCCCCCAACCCTGCTATACGCCTGTGAAATGTGGACTGTCTACAGATGTCATATGCAACTCCTGAAATGACTCCATCAGCTCTGCCTCCGAAAAATCCTGTAAATCTCTTGGGAAGACATGCGGACAAATGTTGGTGTGCTGGAAGAAGCAAAAACCACCAGCATTGAAGCAATGCTCCTCCACCATTGAAGCGATGCTCCTTCGTTGGACTGGCCACGTTGTCCGAATGCCTGATCACTGTCTCCCAAAACACTCTACTCTGAACTAAAGAATGGGAAACGGAATGTTGGTAGACAGGAAAAGAGATTTAAAGATGGGTTTAAAGCCAAACTCAAAAACTGTGGCATAGACACCGAGAACTCGGAAGCTCTGGCCCTTGAGCCTCTAACTGGAGTTCAGCTGTGATCAGCAGTGCTGCAGAATTTCAAGAGGCACGAATGGAGGGGGGATGGGAGAAACGTGTCAAGAGGCAGGCATGTCAAGCCCACCCTGAGAAGACCACCTTCCATCTGGAAACCTATGTCCTCACTGCAGGAGAACATGCAAATCAAGAATAGGGCTCCACAGCCACCTACGGGCCCACCACCAAGACACCACATCTGGAAGACAATAATCCTCAAGCTATGCAGGATCACCTAAGCTAAAAAGATAATGTCCACACAGGCTCTTACCTAAGAAATGGGGATGGGCGATATTGAGACACAAAACTCTCCTGTCCACATCCAGAACATATAAACCAGTGATCCTCAAATCTGTTCATCCCCAGGTGTTTTTGCCTTCAATTCCCAGAAATCTCAGCCAGTTTAACAGCTGTTAGGATTTCTGGGAGTTGAAGGCCAAAAGATCTGGGGACCCACAGGTTGAGAACCACTTCATAAACATTTCAACATTAGGCAGAGAACATCCAGTGTTCTCTGTTCAGGAAAAAGGCAGCTAGCTCTGCACAGAACAGATCTAATGAATCTCAATAGATTTTGCTACTGTTAATACACTTGACCTTATATCAGCTATTGTTTACTGCCCTTTGTCTCTGGTGCTCATATAGCCAAAAAGGGGAGATGGTCTCTGCCAGCATTGAGATCCCTTCAAACCATCTTACCTGACAACAGAAGAAATATCTGTGATGAAATGTAAGCGTATGATTCGAACAATTTCATTCCGCCCCCACACACACACCTGTATGCTTAATTTTTTTCTTTGCCTGATGAAAAAGCCAGTGAAGCTTTAAAAACCTTGCATCATTTATTTTGTGCTTTTTTTTTTAGTTAGCCCAACAAATGTATTGCTGTTTTGTGGAAGGGAATGCCCTGCCAAGGTGGAGAGTTCAACAACCTGGGTGCCATAACAGAAAAGACCCGCTCTGCCACGTCGCCTAACATGTTTGAAAGTTGGCTCCACTGTCAATCTGAGTAAATGGGCATGTATCACAGGACCACAGCATCATAGAGTTATAAGAAGCCCAAAGTACCATTCAATCCAACCCCCTGCCATGCAAGAACACAGAATCAAAGCACTCCTGACAGATGGCCATTGAGCCTCTGCTTAAAACCTTCCAGAGAAAGAGACTCCACCACACTCAGGGACAACATATCCCATTGCCAAACAGCTCTTCCCATCAGGAAGTGTTTCCTAATGTTTAAGTGGAATCTCTTTGCCTGCAATTTGAATCCATTGCTCCATGTCCTAGTCTCTAGAATACCAGAAAACAATCCTATCCCCTCCCCTGTCCCAAATGTGACATCCTTTCAAATGTTTAAACATGGCTATCGTAAGTCCTCTGAGCCTTTTTTCCAACTAAACATATCCAGCTCCCTAAGCTGCCCCTCACAGGGGTTTGCTTCCAGACTTTTGATCATTTTGGTCGCTCTTCTCTGAACACATTCTGGCTTATTTATTTATTTATTTATTTAATTACTTCATTTATATACTGCTTTTCTCAGCCCTTAGGCGACTCAAAGCAGTTAACAACAGCAAAAATTCAATGCTAAACATCATAAAACAATTAAGGGACAGTTAAAACAGTAGCATAATAAACAATTATGCATCAATATAACAAATCATTAGCATCTCATCAATATAATCAAAATCCAATCTCATCATCTGTTATTCTGTGTTCCTATATTCATTACACTGCCTAATCAAATGCCTGCTCGAACAACCAGGTCTTCACTTTCCTCCGAAATGCCAATAGGGAGGGGGCTGATCTAATATCTGTAAGAAGAGCATTCCACAGCCGAGAGGCCACCACTGAGAAGGCCCTGTCTCGCGTCCCCTCCAGGAGTGCCTGTGATGCAAGTGGGACTGAGAGCAGGGCCTCCCTGGATGATCTTAATGTCCTAGCTCTTGAATTATCAATATCCCTCTTGAATTGTAGAGCCCTGGACTAGATACAATATTCCAGGTTAGATCTGACCAAAGGAGAATAGAGTGGGATTATTACTTCCTTTAACATTATTCTCCTGTTGATGCAACCTAGAATCTCATTGGCTTTTTTAAATTGCCACATCTTACTGTTGATTCATGTTCAGTTTGTAGTCTACTAAGACTCCTAGATCCCTTTCACATGTACTATTTTCAATCCTATATCAAAGGGACAAAACATGTCCTTTATTTCACTTGTCAACCTTAGTGTAGACTGTACCACCTCCTCAAGACAGAGAAAACTTGGGGGGGAGGGGGATTGTCAAAGCAGACACACCCCTCATTTTGCAGACATTTATTCTTTATTTCTTGCCTCCATGGGTAACATGGAGCAGTGATTGACAGTGATGAAACATCTGTGCCAGAAGTGCTTGTCAAACAGCAATTGATGAGAACTGTACCAATGATCGCAATTCTCCTGTGCTATCAGCAAAGCTGGTATTCACTAATGCTTTCTGCACAGATGCCCTGAAATGCTGCAATATCTGTTCAAACAATATTAAACAGCACGCAGGCTGCTCTGGAAAAGAGGGCAGAAGAAAATTTATGTGGGTGGGAAAGCATATGCTGCCAGCTGAAGGAGGAAGTGGTATACCACACTTACTTCATAAGTGTGAGGTTTTTATAAACGAACTCCCTTGAGGATTGTTTAAAATAGACAGAAAATGACACACAGTCTCCAACTGGGCTATGTTGTTGTTTTAGAAGATTGTATTCAGTCTAAAAACATTCACATGCTTCCTAGCACTCCTTCCAAAGAGGATCTATTTTTAACTCCAACCTCTTCCGAATGGTAGGCAGATGACACTGAAGTCTTCAAGCACATCTTGTAAGAGACACGTCACTGAATTATCTTACCTGGCAGTGAAAAACATATTCAGGGGTTGTTTTCTTAAATTTCATGTTCCAAACCAATGCCACTCCATCAGGTTCGTGCGGGGCATCTTCATTGTTATTATATGAAGCAACCATCAGCTCAGGGTACTGTAAAGAATACGATATGCTGTTACTATTATTTTGATTAATATACCACCTTTCTCTCAATATGGGACCCAAAGTGGCCCACAATACAAATTACAACAAATGAGCTGAAACAATATGTGGTAGAAAGGTTTTGAAAGTATTAAACAATCAATCCAGCCGAATTTGAACTTGCTGAGAAAGTTTAGTGCTGAAAACAAATTATATAAGTGCATAAATTCAAATGAAAATAATGAATAGCAAAAAATTATAAGCTATCTGGCATTGCCCCCTGATACGCAAAAGAAAGTTTCTGCTAACTGTGAGAGAAATAAGGTTGAACATGGTGAAAGCCATCCACTGCATGTCTATCAACCTCCTCCCAGTAGACTCAAATCAAGGAAAAACTTAATGAGAACCACCACTCCTCTTAATGTCCCCCCATCAACAGCAAGGGTATCCCTCTGGGCAGCTAAACCAGGGAATCCCAACTGGATGGCCCCCCACGAGGGTCTTCCTCCAGGGCCAAACCAAGAATGGGCAACTTGGAAGTCCCTGAACAGACCCAGAAGTGGAGTGGGCAGATCAAAAGACAACCTGGCAAAATGGCACTACCTAGAAGAATCCTCCACCTGTGACTGTGGAGCAGAACAAACAACTCCGCATCTGTATGCTTGCCCACAATGCCCTGCCTCATGCACAGAGGAAGAATTGTTTAAAGCTACCGACAATGCGGTCGCTGTTGCTCGTTTTTCGTCTAAAAGTATCTAGCTGGGTTGTTGTAGGTTTTTTTGGGCTATACGGCCATGGTCTAGAGGCATTTTCTCCTGACGTTTCGCCTGCATCTATGGCAAGCATCCTCACTGAGGATGCTTGCCATAGATGCAGCAAAACGTCAGGAGAGAATGCCTCTAGACCATGGCCATATAGCCCAAAAAACCTACAACAACCCAGTGATTCCGGCCATGAAAGCCTTCGACAATACATTGAGTATCTAGCTGCTTGTGCTTCCTTTATTTTATCAGTTTTATACTTATTTATTTATGCAATGTTTTTGACACATAATAATAATAATAATAATAATAATAATAATAATAATAATAATATATCTGTACATAATGATATAGCTTGGGGATGGAATCCAAGTCTAAACAAGAAATGTATTTAATGCTTCATATACGCCTTGAAAGTAATTTTGTACAATATTTTAAAAGGGTTTTCTGCATGAAGCCACATTTGTGTACCCCGAACCATTAGAAAGCAAAGATGCCACTATCTAATCTACCTTTGTACACAATTTTGGGTTCTTGAGCATTTTAGAGAATGGCATTCTGGACTCAATATGTGTTTTCATCCAGTTTTCCCATACTGGCAAAAGTTTCAAGGTGACTTACAATAACAAAAATGAAAATACATGAAAATATGAAACTACAGCAAAAAAAGAAAAACAAGTAAAATATGAAGCTAGAAGTTTTAAACCATATTTTTTTTAAAATCTGATTTAAAAAACAAATAGCTACTGGTCAAATTCTATTTAAATGTTCTTGTAAAGGCACTTGAAACCAGAATGGAATTAACAAACAGAGTTGTGTCTGTGGAAGAAAATAGCCAATTTTTTATTTCGGTCTGTCTGCTCAAAGAAAGATAAATATGAAATCTAAATCTTATGCAGAGGAAGGACACTAGTGAGAAAAGATCATGATGGAACTAGCTGGCTGGTTCTTGTTTTCAAATGTGTTCTTCTTTATAATGTGTGCAAAGAAATAGTTTTTCCCCCTCACATGATATGTAGTGCAGGCATCTGTTTTTAATATTGACATGAAACTATTGGAATTATAATGCCTAAATTATGTACAGTGATTGCCAACTCTCTGCTCCCCAAAAAAGCTCCACTGCTTTTTGCTAGCCACATAATGAACAGAAATTTACCCTTATATAATTTTATTCACCCCTTCAGGATTGTTTTAATTTCTATCTATTACCTAGCTGATTTTTGCCTGTCACTATTAAAGGTCTTCAGATCTCATCATAAGAAAAGTTGGTAATTACAGATACAAAACCAGCTTCTTACAACCCCGTTCACTGTCTTCACAGTGTGAAGAGACATTAACACCATATATTTTGGGTTCTTTGTGGATTTCTAACATACAGTTGGCTCTCACCATTTGTGAGTTTGACTTTTGAGGATTTGATTATAATATTCTCTTTGCTTTGTGTTAACTATGCTTTGGATAACATAGTTAACACCCCTGTGGTGTTTGTTTTGCTGTCTGTGCCCCTGTTAAGAATATTTCACCTCCCTTTATGTCCCTGTGATAATTGGATTTTTTTAAAAAAATGGCTTCTTGTGGAAATGAGGATTGGAGACCCCTTTTCTCCATGACCACTGTTTCAGGAGTAAATTTCCCTTCTGTGGGGTAGATTTTTCTCACTTCCTGTTTTCTCACCCCCATTCGTAACTATGAGTCATTCGTAAGTCAGATGTTTGTAACTTGGGGACTGCCTGTATACACGAGCCAAACATAGATCAAAGCACTCCCTGGCATTATAATATTTAGTGACACTGAGCATAGTTAAGGTGAATTTCCCAAAGAGATAAGCATTTGGATAAAGACCAGGTGAGACAAGGACACCCCAGAACAAAGAAAGGGAAACCGAACATGCTTGCATGCCTGAGGGGCTGAACAATTACATTTCAGCAGTTGCCTTCCAAGTGGGTTTTATCTCATTGTCCTGGGAATACAGTAACTTGTTCTTGTTTTTTTTCCTCTTAACTATCAGATAAGAATTCCATGTAATTTCCAGCTCCTTGAACAGGCTAAGATAAGTATTTCCTCAGGCTTGTTTCTCATTCTGGTGCAAATCCACATAGGCTTACTGGCCACCCACATATCGCTGCATACCTGTCACAAAACGAATTTCATTAAAACACAGGGATGCAAAGCCCCCCCCCTCCCCTCCAGCACACACACACACTTTTTCAAACATGGAGTAATATGTTGTAAGTAGAAATAGACCAGCCCCATGTGTAGCTTCCTTAAGGAAGCATAGTAAACCAAGATGCCATTCATAATATAGATTTGTTTTAAGCGATATCAGTTTTAAAAGGCATTTTGAAGCAACTTTGAGACTAATTGAGAAAAATAAGTCTATAGGCTGAGGCTGTATCCACACTATGAACAACAAATCCCCATACCATGTCCGTCCCAGTATAAATCTGTCTTTGTGATGCACTTTCTCTCATCCCTTAGTGAAGATTAATCCCATTGGGTTGTTGTAGGTTTTTCGGGCTATATGGCCATGTTCTAGAAGCATTCTTTCCTGATGTTTCACCTACATCTATGGCAAGCATCCTCTGAGGTTATGAGGTCACAGATGCAGGCGAAATGTCAGGAAAGAATGCTTCTAGAGCATGGCCATATAGCCTAAAAAACCTACAACAACCCAGTGATTCCGGCCATGAAAGCCTTCAACAATACATTAACCCCATTGTTTGTCTCATCTGAGTCTCCCTTGAGATACATTAGTCTGCTTATCCATCTCACCCAGGGTTTTATAATTTTATCCCTTGCATTTGGCCCTGCCCACTGTGTTTTAATTCCTTTACCATTTTATTTTGTGTTCATTTTATTGTATATTTTGTTATTGTTTGCACTTTATTTGATGTTATTATTTGCTTGTTTATATTTTACTTTGCCTTATTGTTATTTATTTATTTATTTATTTACTATATTTGTATATCACCCTTCTCAGCCTTTAGGCAACTCAGGGCGGTTTACAATGGCAATGCTTCGATGCCCCAAAACACCACAAAACACTTAAAAACATTAACCCATAATATAAAACCATAACAAGAATACTAAAAGCATACATTATTTGCATCTCCCAATAAAAACATTGTCCCATCTCGTCGTCCAGTCGTTCCAATTCCTAGGTCTTTTACCCTGCATTTTCAAACGCTTGCTCAAACCAAGCCTTGACTCTCTTCTGAAATGTTAAGAGGGAGGGGGCCGATCTAATGTCCCCAGGAAGGACGTTCTATAACCAAGGGGCCACCACTGAGAATGCCCTGTCTCTTGTCCCCATCAAACGTGTTTGTGATGCAGGCAGGATCAAGAGCAGGGCCTCACCAGACTATCTTAAAGTCCTAGCAGGTTCATAAGGAAAGACGAATTCAGACAGACAGTTGGGCCAGAACCATTTAGGACTTTATAGGCTAAAGCCAGCACTTTGAATTGTCCCCGGTAGCAGACTGGCAGCCAGTTGAGCTGGCGCAGCAGAGGAGTTGTATGCTCCCTAAGCATCGCTCCTGTTAGTAATCTGGCTGCTGTCCATTGGACCAATTGAAGCTTCTGGACAGTCTTCAAAGGCAACCCCACATAGAGCATGTTGCAGTAGTCTATATAGGATGTAACCAGAGCGTGGACTACCGTGGCCAAGTCAAACTTCCCAAGATATGGGTGCAGCTGGCGCACAAGTTTTAATTGTTCGAATGCTCCCCTGGTCACTGGGGAAACCTGGGGTTCCAGACTCAGCGATGAGTCCCAAGCTGCAAACCTGCGTCTTCAGGGGGAGTGTAACCCTATCCAACCCAGGCTGTAACCCTATGCCCTGTTCGGCCTTACGACTGATCAGGAGTACCTCTGTCTTGTCTGGATTCAATTTCAATTTGTTCACCCTCATCCAGACCATCACAGCGGCCAAGCACCGGTTCAGTTCCTGAACAGCCTCCTTAGTAGCAGGTGGGAAGGAGTGACAGAGTTGGACGTCATCTGCATACAGGTGACACCGCACCCCGAAACTCTGGATGATCTCCCCCAGCAGCTTCATGTAAATGTTAAACGACATGGGAGACAGTATTGAACCCTGAGGAACCCCACAAGACAATGGTTGTGGGGTTGAACAGGTGTCTCCCAGTACACCTTCTGGGTACGACCCTTCAGGAAGGACCGGAGCCACTGTAAAACAGTACCTCCAAGGCCCATTCCTGCAAGGCATCCCAAAAGGATACCATGGTCGATGGTATTGAAGGTCTTTGAGAAGCCCAGCAGAACCAACAGGGACACACTCCCCCTGTCCAGCACCCAGCGTAGATCATCAACTAAGGTGACCAAGACCGTCTCGGTACCATGTCCCAGTCTAAAGCCAGACTGCCCTGAATCCAGATAATTCTTGGGCTTGGCATCATGTTAGCCGCCCCAAGTCCCCTTGGGGAGATGGTGGTGGGGTATAAGATTATGATTATGATTATGATTGGATTATAGCAGTTTGAAACCACACTAATTGCCATGGCTCAATTTTATTGAATTCTGGGATTTGTAGTTTTGTGAGATAGTTGCCCTTCATTTGAAAGAGCTGTGGTGACAAACTCCAGGCCCCATAGGATGGAATTATAGCAGTTAAAGTATCGAACTGATAGATCCATATAGAAATACAGCAAGCGTTTCTAGGGTGGAAAGTTATGGGTTTGCTAAGATGTTTTAATTGTCCCGTTTTTATAAGTTACTGTATGGTTTGTATTTGGTTTCTGGTTTGTTTGGGGGGTTTTGTTTGTTGCTTATACATAATAAAAAATAACACCAAAAAAGCAAGTATTTTTGGTTTTCCAAAGTAATCTAAGATCTTGAATTGAGAAGCACAGTGTTTTAGGTGCTGGCCCACATATCCAACTTCTGCATCCCTACTGCATATCTTACCTGAATGGACCAATCCATACAAGTGACAACTCGATGCTTCGACCAATGTTCGTCGTAGAACTGTCGATTAAAGGAAAGGTTGGCTCCAGCCTGGATGTCTCTACATTGAATTAAACAAAAGTTATGCTTTAGTTATAATTAAATAATTTTTCAAAACGTTTTTCAAAATGTATCCATAGCTAGCTGATCTATTATCACATCTTGAACTGTGTTGTTCCAGTTCATGTCTCCAGATCTAGTTCTCTTGCTACTTCCTACCCATTATATTCTGTCTGAAATGAAAATATGAAATAGCAAGGAATACTTCCTATTTAAACAATGCAGTTGTGTGGTATAGAACCCGGTCCATGCAGTACTTAAATACATATTTAATCATGGGCAAAATAAAAATAAATGAAAATTAAATATCAAGGCAGAGCTGTGTTCCCTAGTTGTTGTTTTTCTTATATGAATGTTATGGAAAAGTTTGTGTGTGCGTGCGCATGTGTGTGTGTGTGTGTGTGTGTGTGTGTGTGTGTGTGTCAGGAGTGACTTGAGAAACTGCAAGTCAGTTCTGGTGTGAGAAACTTGGCCGTCTGCCAGGACGTTACTCAGGGTTAATACATGGAGAGAGGTGTTATATGGTTCAGTATACCATAGTTTTGCATGTGAATAGTTACAATACACCGCGGGGGGGGGGGATATCAAATTGCTGCATCTGTTTACATTGTGTACACAATGCCACACCAATCTTCAGAAAAACCTTTTCCCATCTTTTCCTTGAACAATCTTTCTCATTTTGCTCACTTGCATCAGTTACCCGTTTCAGGGCTTGAGAAAGTTCCTGATTTTTTTACTCCAGGATCCAGAATACCACTTCTACTATGCTTGGCAAAACATTTTTGATATATTTCTTAGGGATGTAAATTCTCAAATATTTTACCCTCACATGTGAGATTGAATAATTAAAGTAGTTTTCTTTCTCCACTATGGGAGAAAGTGAGTATTCCTGTGGAATATTTTCCCCATATTTGAATGACAAAGTGTTGCACAGGAAGCATTCTGAGGAGAAAAACAAATGCATATATAGTAGATTTTCTATCTTTCTTATATAGAAAATAAGTGGGTTTTTTTCTGTACAGGAAACCCAATTTCTGCACAGAAAAAAATGGGAGAAAGAATCATAGATTTGGAAGAGACCCCCTGCCAAGAAGCAGGAAAATCGCATTCAAAGCATCCTTGACAGATGGCCTCCAAAGAAGGAGCCTCCATTAGACTCTGGGGCAGAGAGTTTCACCGCTAAACAGCTCTCACAGTTAGTTCTTCCTAATGTTCAGGTGGAATCTCCTTTCCTGTAGTTTGAAGCCATTGTCCAGCATCCTAGTCACCAGGGCAACAGAAAACAAGCTTACTCCCTCCTCTCTATGACTTCCCCTCACATATTTATACATGGCCATCATGTCTTCTTTTCTGCAGGCTAAACATGCCCAACTCTTTAAGCTGCTCTTCATAGGGCATGTTCTCCAGACCCGTGATCATTTAAGTCGCTCTCCTCTGGACACATTCCAGCTTGTCAACATCTCGCTTAAATTGAGTGTGGACACACACACACAAATCTGTTTTTCTCTCCAAAATTATTTCTTTGCAACATTCTGGGATATCAAGATCAGGAGAAACTGCACCTAATACTTCCACATGTTTGTGTTGTGTGTTTTGACTACTTGGAAACCCATTTGTCAATCTTTTTATAACTTCAAATATTCTTTCCATTCCCAGTGAGGATTCAGGATTCCCATGTTTTATTTTTAGTTTTTTTTAAAAAAAAACCTGTAGTGCAGACTATGTCCAAAGAATTCAGGTCATTTGTATAGAAGATAGCCAAGACTTATTTGAGCATTTGCCTATTTGAAATATAATAAGGAGATTATAGCTAACAATTAGAAATCAAAAATGCAAAAATGTCCAGAAATAAAAGGAGAAGTTACAAATGAAAATAACCACTTCATCTGATATCCAGACTGTTATCAGTAAAGAAGGATAAAATAATTTCTGGTTGGTGCTCTTTTATCAGTCACATGTAATTGCTGTATATATTTACATGGAAACAAAATAGAAAACACAACTGACCCATCTTTCTCTTCTACATCACGGCCACTGTAGTCAAAGAAAATATTTGAATCTTCAGCTAGCGCTCGCTCAATCACACGTATAGTCCGGTCAAAAAATATGAGGAATTCTTCTGAATGAAGTATCTGCTGCTTTTCCTCCTCTGTCAGTTCCCTAGGAGGAGCTTACAAAAATATATTGACAATATTAAACATGTGAACATTAAAACATTTCCAACTGAATATCTTTAGGAAAGAAAGGGGGGGAAATCCTGTTAAAGTCACAATTGCATTGCTAAGTTTCCTTCTAAGGAATTATTTAAATGTTCTATGACATAGTACTAGACTGCTGGCCCTATACTTAATGTATCCTGTCTCCTATGTATTTATTATTCTGAATATGAATATTCTTAAGATTCAAAAACAAATTAAATAAACTCCACACTTTTGACTGATGTTTATTGAAAAGCTGTTCTTGGAACAGCAATAAATATATAACTCGCAGCTGTCTTGGTCCAGGTAGGACAACCCGACTTATTTATCTTTAAAATGGGTTGTGAATTTTCCTGGCTGTATGGCCATGCTCCAGAAGCATTATCTCCTGACGTTTTGCCTGCATCTATGGTTGTGAGGTCTGTTGGAGACTAGGAAAACTGAGGGTTATATATCTGTGGAATGTCCAGGGTTGGAGAAAGAACTCTTCTCAGTTTGAGGTAAGCGTGAATGTTGCAATTGGCCACCTTGATTAGAATTTAATGGCCTAGCAATTTTAAGGTCTGGCTTCTTACTACCTGGGAGAATCCTTTGTTGAGAGGTGATTAGCTGGCCCTGATTGTTTCTTGTCTGGAGTTCCCCTGTTTTTGAGTGTTTTTCTTTATAATAATAATAATAATAATAATAATAATAATAATAATAATAAAACTTTATTTGTACCCCACTACCATCTCCCCAAGGGACTCCGTGCGGCTTACATGAGGCTGAGCCCACAATACAACAATAAACAATAACAACAATAATACAAAACAATAAATAAACTCATAAGCAAAAATAAGCAATAAACATTAACAGTAACACGACGCGTTTAAAAACCAATGGCTGGGCCAAATGTAATAATTAATTACTGTTATGATTTTAGAGGGTTTTTTTTAATACTGGTAGCTAGATTTTGTTCATTTTCATTTTTTTTTCTGTTGAAATTGTCCACATATTTGTGGATTTCAATGGTTTCTCTGTGTAGTCTGACATGGTAATTGTTAGTCTAGCATTTCTGTGTTTTTAAATAATATGTTGTGTCCAGGTTGGTTCATCAAGTGCTCTGCTATGGCTGATTTCTCTGGCTGAAGTAGTCTGCAGTGCCTTTCATGTTCCTTGATTCACATAGGGGTGCTGTGTTTGTAGACTTGTCCCCCAGGGAGTAAGAAGCTAGACCTTGAAACTGCTAGGCCATTAAATGCTAATCAAGGTGGACAATTACAACATTCACACCTACCTCCCACCCTGGACATTCCACAGATATATAAACCCCATTTTCCTAGTTTCCAACAGACCTCACAACCTCTGAGGATGCCTGCCATAGATGTGGGCAAAACGTCAGGAGAGAATCCTTCTGGAACATGGCCATACGGCCTGGAAAACTCACAGCAACCCACTGATTCCAGCCATGAAAGCCTTCGACAATACATCTTTAAAATGTTTTAGAAGATCTTATTTTCTCCATCTTATTCAGTATTAGGTGCATTCTCACATTTCTTTTTCTAACATATATTCATGGACAGCGAAAGAGCTCTGTCTACTTTATGGGAGGGTTTATTCACCCCTATTCATAGGTAACTTTTCGAAATTCATTATGTTAGTGCTTATTGAGACTATCAAATCATAGGTTGTTTACTTGTCTGTCACATTTCTCTCTGGTACAATTCGTGATTTTTCCCCCCCTTCTGCTTGACAGTTTGTTAAACAATAAAATAACAACCAGTAATCTAATGCTATACAATGGGGTTTAGCCCTGGATAGGTGTGCATACATCTTGCCTGGTATCTACACAGAACAAACTTGTCAGTTCTTCACATTTTATAAACAAAACCAGAAGCTATAATAGAAACATAAAACATGATGAGTTAAAATCTAGGTTCTGTTTAAGCCTTTCATTTCACCAGGGCAATGATAGTTGAACATAAAATGTAGCCAGAAACCGCAATGAACTATCTGTTACCCATAAAAATGAAAACATAATTGTTTTAGACAGCGAACCAAAAAGTAAAGGAAAAAGGAAAGCCAAAGGATTTGCTTAATATGTAACTCTATAAAGAAAAAGAAAGAAAAAAGAACGAGGCTGCACTATGCTAAACCAGAATTTACATGAAGATATCCTGAAAGATGGCACTCTTCCATACATCTCTGCCTAGGCGTTGAGCTCTGAAAAGAGCACTTCTCTCAGGCCCCTTCTACATTGCCATATAAAATCCAGATTATGTGCTTTGAACTGGATTATATGGCAGTGTAGAAGGGACCTCAGTCCTTTCACACAAAATCTAGAGAAGATGATCTGCTCAAAGGCTGACAAACTCCTTTCCAGAAGGGGCAAAGGGTACATCTACACCACTGAATTAATGCAGTTTGACATCACTTTTACTACAGTAGAGTCTTGCTTATCAAACATAAATGGGCTGGAAAAATGTCAGATAAGCGAAAATGTTGAATAATAAGGAGGGATTTTAAAAAAGCTTATTAAATGTCAAGTTACGTTATGATTTTACAAATTAAGTACCAAAACATCATGTTTTACAACAGATCGACAAAAAAAGCAGTTCAATACACTATAACATTATGTAGTAATTACTGTATTTATGAATTTAGCACCAAAACATCACAATGTATTGAAACAGCTGTGGATCTGGATGGGAGGCAGACTGTGTTGAATAATACACAACGTTGGATGAGTGATGGTTGGATAAGTGAGACTCTACTGTACCACTATTCAATGCTATGGAATCATCAGATTTGTAGTTTGGTGAGGCACCAGCAACAACCTGGAGTTACTGTTAGGGGCCTTCTACACTGAAGAAATAGTTGAAGGCTTTGGCAAAACACTTGTAGACTCATTTGAAATGTGATCCTGGAGGAAATATCATCCGATACCACAAGACCACAAAAACAAAAACAAATTAATTGGTGCAAGAGTAAAGCGAGCATAAATTCTCACTAGAAACCAAAATGACGAAACTGAGGTACCTTGGACAAATCACAAAATAACAAGATTCATTAGATAATAATGCCCTGTAAAATGAAAGGCAGTAGGGAAAAAAGAAGACCACTTGAAAGAAACATTGAGTCCATCAAGACAGCCATGGCTTTGATCTTGCAAGACCTGAGCAGGGCCGGTAAGCATATATATCCTCTAGCAGCCCCTATTTGATAAGGGCAATCCTAATTAATCCTCTATCATTCCACTTTTTTTAAATATAACAGTTGAAATTTGACTTCAAATTACAGAAGTAGTTTGAATGAAATCACCAAAATGAGAGGAGAGGAGAAGGGACAGAATCCTACCCTATTTCCCAGTAGTTTAGTTTTTAAATTGCTTATTTTATGATATTCATACTTATTATTGATGTATTTGGTCTGTTGTTTGTATGATTATGTCTAGTTATGTCCAACTCTGGGGGTTGGCATTCATTTCCATTTCTAAGCCAAAGACGGCATTGTCCGTAGACACCTCCAAGGTCATGTGGCTGGCATAAATGCCTTTGAAGATGTAGCAACAGAATCTCTGTGAGGGATAAGGTAACTTCCTCTTTAAAGGTATTTTTATTGCCCTGGCTTTTGGCCATGTGGTCTTTTTTCCATTGCTCTCTCTCTTCCTTCATCTTCCTTCCAGTGAGGACGCATTTTGCCTTTATCCAGGCAAAATGTAGATGCATGGATACTTTTGATATTTTATCCTCTTATCTTCCTTAGAAGATGAGCTTAGTAAACTAGTTAGCTTATTATTATTATTATTATTATTATTATTATTATTATTATTGAAAATTATTATTATAGATTCAGGCAAAAGTAAACCGCTGCAGCACAAAGCTTGGATGCTCTTCCTTATAAATAATGTTTGCCTTCTTGACAACACTTTGATGTTGTTCAGCCAAACATGTTCCAGTTTTCATCTCTGAAATGTTTTGGGATGAGAACAGTGTTTCCTGGAGGTTCCTCATTCATAGAGTCACTGTAAATTGATGCTGACTTGAGGGTATGTAATGACAACAACAAGAACAGCAACAAAAATAAGAAAAATCCCTATATAAATACCTGCCTGTTCAGGGAGTGCACTCATGCATCTCCTGAAGTGGAGTGAACTACACAAAAGCTTGCACTACATGAAACTAATGTTAGTGTTTAAGATGCCACAAAATTACCTTTTGGTTTTGTTGCTACACAGCTATCTCAACCCACTCCTTATAAATATAATAGTCCTGGTCACTTTGCAAAAATTAAACGTATCCCGCGATTCATCTTCTTCATGACTCTCCAAATAAAGCCCACAATGAATTATTGACAGAAACTTATTGGAGCAGCCCTGCATCTACACTATGGAATTAATGCCATGCGACACCACTTTAACTGTCATGGTTCAATACAATCACATAAATTGTAGTTTTTCAAGGTCTTTAGCCTTCTTTACCTAAAGAAAGCCGGTGCCTCACCAAACTACTACACTTGTGCATTTGATGCGGAAATACCCTTGATTCGAATCTAGTTTTGATGTTTAGCACTCCTGAAGCGAGTTCCGACATGCTTGCTTGCTACCCGCCCCCCCCCCCCATATTAAGAATTTGAATCAAAAGGAGCCTTTGATTCTTAAGCTTCAGTTGTGTTCAGAGCTAAAATTGTAGCTGTGAYGGAGCTAAAATTCATAGGGCAACCAAGCCCTGCTGAGAGGCAAAGCCAAACCTGTTGGCATACTCTCCAGCCAATCAGGGCTGACTGAGAAGGGAGGGGGAGGCAAAGTCGGAGATCGCTAAAAATATTGTTTTTTAAAACTTTGGAAATTCCCAACAAAATCCGTGGATGAGTGAAACATTATGAAACTTGATAGGCAAAGAGTAAAAAATGTGTTCTACCATTGTAGCAAGTTTCACTCCAATAGCTTTGAAAATTAGGGAGATAGAAGCCCCATTTATAGTAATTTTATTCAAGCCATATGACTGGAAGAAAGGGATAAGTCTAGATCAGGGGTTAGTCTAGATCAAGGGTCAGTCTAGATCAGTGGTCAGTCTAGATCACAATTAAAACTCTCACTTTTTTAATAAAAATGTTGAAAATTCACCAAAAATCCATGGATAGGTCAAACAATTTGAAATTTGGTGAGCAAACAGTGGTAAATAGGTTCTACTATAGTAGCAAGTTTCATCAGGATAGCTCAAAAAATGAGAGAGAGAAAAGCCCCTCAAGTTTCCCCACTGACAGTAATGTTTTCCTTAATGCCCATGCACAGCCGCCATTAAATAGGTATTTACAAAGATTCAGAAGTTTTGTAAAGTTTTGAAATATTTACCCTCAAAATTCGGAAAGGACTTTGGAAACGAAGTGCCAGCACCCCCTACTTTTAAACAGTTTAGAACTTCTTCTTTTTTGGATCGCACATGCCTACAAACTACAGCTCCCAGGATTTCCCAGCATCGAACCATGGCATTTAAATCAGTGTCCAAGTGAATTAATTCCACAGTGAGAATGGACCCTGCTTTCAAGTTGTGAAGTGCTTCTAAATAGTATTTCATTTTGAAAAGTTCTGTGCTGCTGTTGTTTTTGTTCCATGTAAATATTAATCTTTTGTTTATTTCCCTTTTAAAAACTGGATGCTGATGTGATTCGAACAATCCAAGGTTTTTAAAGTAAAAATGAAAGTTCAGTTCCTTGTTCGATAGCCAGTTTTTCACTCAGAACAAATTTTAATGGCTGGGTTATAAAGTCATTGAAAAACAAGATTCATAAGGGAAGTGCTGACACAGGCTTTAACTGCCTATACAGAAGTGTGAATGGCGCCGCTATAATATCTATTAGAGATTCTTTAAAAGTCCAGAGGGAAAAATACTGTATTTCTTTGTGCAGAAAAGAAAAGAAAAGAAAAGAAACTAGGGCACTTTATGCCAATATAAACATGCATTTAACCCATTATAGACTAATTTGCAGGAAAGCCCTTAATTCTGAATAAGCATGGTAGAACCCAGTACCAACAGGAAATGTAACTCTCAATTCCTGTTTTGTTTCTAACATGCTTTTAATCACTTCCATGAAGCGCACACAGAGATTAGAAACTCAGAAATAGAAGGGATTGTATGAGGGAATCAGACATGAATTTATTAGGGGAAGGGGAAGTGAATAAAACAGTGGTTCCCAACTTTTTTCTTTTTACTCAGGACCACTTGACCAGGGACCACTTTGACCAGGGACCACTCTCCAACATTAGAACCAAAAGGTTACAAATCAGTTTTTGGCCAACTTTAGATTTGGTTTGAGGTGCTGATTCAGAAAATTGCATTCGATAGACCACATCAGCTTTAGTTTCTGATACAGGACATATGCCATGGTCAGCAACAGGGAAGGAGTGGCAGGCTGCATGAAAGGAGCAGAAATAAAATAAATAAAATAAGAGGAAGGAAGCTCAAGGACAGGTTTTTCATTCTTGTGGCCCACTGGTGGTCCACAGCCCACAGGTTAAGAACCACTGGAATAAAAGCAAAAGAGAGGGGGGAAATGCACTACGAGGGCTGAATAAAAAGTAATTCCTCCACCTTCGTAACTCCTCAACAGATGACAGTACTGATATGCGGCAGGTACTGGCTTGTTCAGTAGACTCCCCTCTACAGTTCCATTTTGGTGGGAAGACTTAGCATTGAACGGTTGTGTTGTTAAACTGTGAAGTATGGAACCCTGTGCAGACGGTCGGTCAATGCGACTTAAGCAACGTGCAGCCCTTGAATTCTTGACAGCAGAAGGTGTCACCTCAACATCTTTAAACTTACTCGCCCAATGACGCACACTACTCACACCAACACAATCACCATAAACAGCTTGCATTCTCTGATGAATCTCCTTTGGGGTAATATCTTCTGCTGTCAAGAATTCAATGACTGCACGTTGCTTAAGTCGCATTGAATCTATGTTCAGTGGCATCTGTGTATGTTCAGTGGCACCAGTTTTGTGGTTATTGATTATGTATCCTTCAACATTTCTCAGATGAAAACTGGAACACATGGCCAAGGATTATTAGGACATCACCAAAAAAAAGGAAATATATATTAATGAGGAAGTAAAGACAAGACAAGATCAGATCAGGAAAGACTGCATCAGTTTGCTTTTGCTTGAGACTCTTCCCCTGCGTAGTAAATTGCTTCTGGATTTTGAACAACAATTGAAATAAGCCAAGGAAGTGGGAAGGTAAGAGAAAAAAGCAGCTGAAACAGTGGGATGACAATGAATTAATGGGAACCATCTCTGCCAAATCAGGAAAGTTTGAGGGAATGTGATTCATAGATTTTACTGAAAGCAGACCTTGAGAATCATGGGCCAGAAATAAGTCTACAGTCCACGTAATTTATCATGAGAAACACTGATCTCGATGTAGTTTTTTAGCTCTCTCATTTCAAAGACAAAATGCCTTCTCTGTGATACGGTATCAGCAGTAATTCATTTTTTCCCTGTTTAGCGTCTAAAATACTAATGCCCTCACAAAGTGCTGTCATATTTAAGTCAAATACCACACTTCCTTTTGAATTCTGTGGTCTGACCATCTCAAAAACTGTTACTACCCAAAACCCCAACACACAGCTACCATTCACCAGGGACCTGGCTTGACTAGACAAGAAGAGGAGCCAGTGGCAACATGAGGCACTTCTCCTAGACTAAACTATAACAAAGAAATAGATGATGTTAGTCATGGCTCTCCTTCAAGTACAACAACAAAAGTATACAAAGGGCTCAGTTGCAAGCATGTGAAAAACTAAAATAAATATATATCTTTCAGGAGTCTATTTAGTTTGGCTTTTAAAAGTATTCACGCATAATCCACAATGTCGCCTTCCAGAGATATCTGAATTAGAGCAGCTTTAATGTGGCAACAGAAAGAAACGTAGCACAAATCTCTACCAAAATGGAATAACTAATTCAGTATTCAAACACATTGGCCTTGCTTTTTTAAGCCTACTTGCTTAACCTATTGGAAACAAAGGTGGAAAGCCTATGCTAAATATACATCCTGATACACAAACTTGACTAACATCCACAGTTTTTATCCAAGCTTGGAAAATTTACTCGTTTTGCTACAAGTCTTAGAGCCAGAATGTTGGTTGGTGGATTATGAAACTGATAGTTTAAAGAAGGGCTACTTAACTTTTTCCACATACAACCTTTCTTTCGCTCTAGAAATTTTTGTGTGATCCCAGGTACATATGCACATAAAATAGGCATAAAAATCAAACATTTACTGACACTAAACCAGAATTTGCAGGGCTGGCTAAACAGGCTGATTTTCCTTTTTATGGAGTACAGCTGAAGCATTTTCTGCAGATTCCACTGTAAACTCTGCAACCGAGCTYGAAACACATTGTTGCTAACTTATTTATGTATATGTCTAGGTGGTATGCAGAAACCTTTTACTGTSACCAAACTTTTGCTTGAAGTTGATCACAGACTTGCCATGGAAGACCTAGGGCCCTGTTGTTTTTTTACCTGAGGCATCCAAACAATGCCTCAGGTAAAAAAGAAGTAATTCGAGACAAAGCAGGAAACCCCTGCTTTGTCCTGAATTATTTAGATAACCCATTATATTCCTGGCCTTCCTGAAARACCCGGTTCTAATGGGTATGGGCCCTGTAGGGACAGACTACTGAGACAGTCCCAGTAGTCTGTCTCCACAGCCCAATTCGCTTCTTTSGGTCCCATGAGTCCAGAGAAGTGAAGAAGGCACACMCCCMCTCCAAAAGTGCTAAAAACAACTGAACATTTTCCGGGCCATGGTGATGCCTCTCTGCAAGCCTCCTGGAATGTACTAATGACACGCCAGGAGGTGGTGGGGGTGGAAATAGTTCCTGCTTCTGTCTCCCCCCCCCCACTTCCTGGCACATCACCAATAGGTTTTCTGTTGTTTTTAGGGCTTTTGAGGGGGGGGGGTTAGGTGGCCTGATGCCATTCCGAAAGTTTTTGGGATGGCATGGGGCAGCCAATGGGCAATGCCCATTATTTCCCTGGGTGTGAGAACTTAAACTCACTTCAGGGTGGGTTTCTTTAACCCACTCTGAAGAGGGTTTAACATATGTCTGGAAGCATCCCTAGAGATTCCTAGAAAGAACACTTCTCTAAAAAATCTCTAGGTCCTCGAGTGCAATTCTGTAATTGCTCTGGAAGACCTAAAGAGTTCTAGAGAGCCTTCTCTCCAGTGGAGCCAAATCATACTAAAATAATAACAATGACAACCGGACTTTTAAAACAAGATGAAGTCAAGTTGGGAAAAAATAATGCTTAGTGAAATTTGAATAAAGCCTCAACATACCTTCTTTCACCTCTTTCTTTTTTTCTTGAGTTTCTGTTTCAGAATCATTTTGTGCTTTTGGTTCAACCAATTCCTCATCTTCCTCATCCTCTAGAGAGAGAAAGAGAAAAGAAAAAAAGAATGGAAATTGGCAACAGTATTATTTCAGGCTATGTATAGTTTTTTCTTTGACAAACTAGATGTAAATTTAGCAAAAACATATCTTGCACTTAGTAAAGTGATGTACTTGATATTGCATTTGTCTAAAAAGCCATTATAAATCACATCATAACATATATTTTACAATACAATACAATAAAAATCAGACTACCTGCACACTTCATTACAGTAGATTTTGAATGACTGTGAATACTTTTTGCAACCTTATCAAAGGGGGTTGGTTTTAGGTGCAACCTGTAAACCACAATGTAATAGTAATCATCATATCTTCCCCAAAGGACTTTCACCCTTTGGAGTTGCCAAGACCTGTCCCAGGAACCTTTTCTTGGAATTTGGATATGGATGACAGTAGTGACTTCAGCCTTAGAAGAAGGCAAAGGGAAAAAAACCCTTCATTTTATAAATCTTGCAAAGAAAACCCTGTGATAAATTCATTTTAGGGTCACCATAAGCTGGAAGTGATTCTAAGGAACACAGCAATAATCACAATAAGTAGAACGAGATACCCTTGTCACACGCCACAAATACAGAACCATCCATTTATTGGAACATGCCTGCATCTTCCATTCAAATATGATTTGGACATAAATTGAAAACATAATTCTGTAAATGCAGTTCTCAGAGAGTGACTTCTTCCGTGTTTTCAGCATACAATACTAATGAGAAAAGATGAAGATTTAATTAGATCTTAATCTTGATTACTGTCCAAACTTTTAGTTTGTTTTTAACTTGTAGTGTAAAAAAAAAGTCTGATTACGAGGTAGTAGAGGTTAGCAACTCTTGGCATAACTTAATTAGTCCAACGAATGTCCTCTGAAGCAAACCTTAGAGAACTGGCTTCCCTTCATATCAAAGACCCTCTTATAATAAAGGGAACTGCTTTCTTGGCCCTAGCTTTACCTGATGCCCCAGGGCTGGAGTAAGTACTCAAGAAGCTTATTTTGCCAAAATCCCAATTTTTCTAAATTGTTATGTCTTGTCGCCCACATTTCAAAACCATACTGGATTTGAGGTGACTCCTTCTCCAAGAAACACTTTCAGATCTGGAATTACCAACCTGCCTCCTGTAGAATAATAATAATAATAAAAGTAACAGCTCAGACTTTGTTCTGTGCTGTTATTTTAATAATCTGCAACTGAATCTTTCAATAACATTTCTTATCAAAACATATGCCCAAATATTTGAAAGGCGAAACTTGCTCTATCTTATTTTTCTATCTAAACTCCAAAAATACCCGGGAGGATGCATGTCATTAAATCTTAGATTTAATGTGCTTCGTTATAAGCTGCTCTGTGTAAAAGACAACATAAAATTTGTTCAGACTTCTCTTTAGCACAATTTTTATTCATTAATAACAGACCACACCAACACATATCAGGACCGCAATTTTACAGTTTTTGTGGGGAATTGGTTTATGTAACTCAGTTATATTATTAGTAATGCAAAAATTAACCAGTAGGGGTGCCAAGAGGAAAACCTTGTTCAATTCCTTTTATTGTACAGATGTGTCTTTAACAGATGCTAACCTGAACCCTCACAGTTGTATTTGTGTAAAATTCCCAAATCCAGGGGAGCAATATCATTAATTTTGCTCTCTACAAGCCTGTCCCACAGATGATTTATTGTAATTAAAGCGAAACTTGAAGAGAAGCCAATAAAAGCAGCAAAAAGCCACTTGGAAGAACTATTGGTATATTTACAAATTTCATGATATTTAATTATAATGATACAATACAAAATACAAGCTAACTGGCATTGCACCCCCCCTCCCCCATGTGTGATGGGAAGTTGCTGCTGTGAGAGAAATAAGGTTGAACACTGTGAAAGCCCCACACTACATGGCTATCAGTCTCCTCCCAGTAGACTCAAATCAAGGAAAAGCTTCATGAGAACCACCACTCTCTTAATGTTCCGCAGCAACAGCAAGAACATCCCTCTGGGCAGTTAAACCAGGAAATGCCAACTGGATGCCCCCCCCCCACGAGGGCCTGCCTCCAGGGGCAAACCAAGAATGGTCAACTGACAGTGGAGCAGAACAAATAACTCTGCAGTGTTATGCTTGTCCACAATGCCCAGCCTCATGTATAAAGGAATAATTGTTTAAAGCTACAAACGATGCTGTTGCCCGGTTTTGGTCGAAAAATTATTTAGCCGCTTGTGCTCCTTCTATTGTTATCAATTTTATGCTTATGAATATGTATGCAATGCTTTTGTCATGGAATAATAATGCAAAATGCATCACTTTACTGAGACCTTTCAGAAACTTAGCTTCTTCCTGCTAAATAATATTATTTTCATCTACTAACCCTGATTTTACAGAAAATTTAGATGTGTTCAGAAATCCTTAGAATTATGTTTATCAGAAAACAGCTTTGTATGGGGAATCCATTAAGATGCGGTTCACTGATTTTGTAAACAACGCATCTGACATCCCAAGACCACCAGGATTCCAGAATAAATATTGAAGATACATGCACAGGATCTTCAATACTTTGCATTTTGGAAACTGAAGATTATTGACAAAAATGGAAAGAAAAATGTATAATGTTGATTATAAATTGATTCATGGATTATATTTCTGATGGATGCTGGAACTGATCGTATCCAAGAGTGGTTTGTTATTTTGCAGTGTAGTTACATTTATCATTTTGCCTTGTTATTTTGTTGAAGTAAACCAATACAAGTTTATATCACGAGCTGAGCTGCCCATGTGGACAGTTTGGCATTATGGAGTTTATCAGATTTTGGAATTCTGGATAAGAAATGCTTAACTTGTAAAAATATTTTTAAAATAAATATTAAAAGCAAAAAAAACCCTCAAAAAGTTTCAAATGCCACATATGGTAAATTATTTTTGAAGCTCAAGAAGATTCAAAGAGAAGTTTGTGACATACTACATTGCAATCTACTATTATATGTTTCTATCTCCTTCTCAACCTATACCTATAGTTGTATAACAAGATACAGTTGAAGGCAAAAAGGTAGGACCAAATACACAATCAAATTTTAGCTTGCACCTAGCAACTAAATTTTAGGTGTGGCATTCAACCTATTATAATGGGAAAAACCAGCAGAAAAAGCTGGTAGACTTCCAAAGGTTTGGATTCATAGGGAACAGCATGTACTCACCAGATGAAGCTCAGAGGGTCAGAAAGAAAGCCTAGGACAGTGGTTCTCAACCTGTGGGTCCCCAGGTGTTTTGACCTACAACTCCCAGAAATCCCAGCCATTTCACCAACTGTTAGGATCTCTGGGAGTTGAAGGCCAAAACATCTGGGGACCCATAAGTTGTGAACCACTGGCCTAGGAGGAGTAGATTCTGCTCAAGCTTTGTCAGTTCTGAATTCATGTAGCCAAATACGACTTCACTCTATAGCAAAGCTACTCAAAGTGTTCATTCCAGGACCAGTGATAGCCCACTAGCAATCAGCCACCAGTTTCTTGAGACCTTCCAGGAAAGAAAGACAACTGTTGCCCACAGTAGAAATATTGTATAGGTAACTTGAGGAAAAGTAATTGTTGTTCTCCCCAGATTACACAGCTTAAGAAGCCCTACTCTACACAACAATCTACTTCTTAATAAATGTGCCTAAAACTACTATGTTCATGCAGCTAAAAAAGCCAATGGGATTTTGGCCTGCATGTATTGGAGTATACTGTCTAGATTCAGGGAAGTCATGCTACCCCTCTATTCTGCCTTGGTTGGACCACACCTGGAATACTGTGTAAAATTATGGGCACCACAATTGAAGAGAGATATTGACAAGCTGGAATGTGTCCAGAGGTGGGTGACTAAAATAATCATGGGTCTGGAGAACAAGCCCTATGAGGAGTGGCTTAAAGAGCTTAGCATGTTTAGCCTTCAGAAGAGAAGACATGATGGCCATGTATAAATATGTGAGGGGAAGTCACAGGAAGGAGGGAGCAAGCTTGTTTTCCGCTTCCCTGGAGACTAGGACACGGAACAATGGCTTCAAACTACAAGAAAGCAGATTCCACCTGAATATTAGGAAGAACTTCCTAACTGTGAGAGCTGTTCAGCAGTGGAATTCTCTGCCTCGAAGTGTGGTGGAGGCTCCTTCTATGGAGGCTTTTAAACAGGATGGATGGCCATCTGTTGGGGGTGCTTTGAATGCGATTTTCCTGCTTCTTGGCAGGGGGTTGGACTGGATGGCCCATGAGGTCTCTTCCAAAAAAAGTTAGTTTTTTTGTACCTAGAATCATAGAATCATAATTCTATGATTCTAGGTACAAAAAACTAAGGGTTTTTTTGTCGTCAAATTTTTATTCACCAAAGACTCAGGCAGAAGCTAATGACTATATCAAATACAAAGCATGAGAATAGTAAGTAATTTGCAAGACATTCTTGAACGAATCACCTGTTCCTTCCTATCCCCTGCAGCAACTTTCCATCTCAGATGTCTTACGTTTGACTTCTTGTCCCCAGTGGCATGTCTGTGAGTGGCGAAGGGGGAGAACGCATACAGGTTTGAGCCTAGCAGCTACATCACTAATGGGACACCTGTTATTCAAACACCTCATTTCCAATTCAATTCTCGCCAGATTAATTTGTCTTTTGACCTACAAGGAGGGGTTAAATAGAATCCTGACCTCGGGTCACATGCCACTGGCAAGTAAACAGGCACAGCCACAGTCCTGAACACTCACCAAGGCTCAACTTGAGAACATGGCAGCCAGGAGGTACTGTTTGGAGCTTAAGAGCCACTCGGCATTAATACGAATTTAATGAGCACTGAAAATTGACACATGTCAGCTACTAACAGATGTTTTACTGCCCTTTCTTCACCTATGCAAATCGCTCCTCTCCTGCTTTTCTTCTACACAACTCATATGTTCTTCCTTTTCCTGTTTTGTGCTTTGCTGTTTGCCTTAAGCTACACAGCGTCTGAATATCTAAGACAGAGTCCCA